TAGGAGAGAACTGCAGCTAAAGGAATTCAGGATGATTCCTAGGGCTTAGGACCATCTTAGTTTCTGACGCTACGGGATGCGAACGCTAACATTTTCCTTGAGGGAAAAAATTCACGCAGTGCAAAGAAGCACAGCTAGCAGCACTGTGCGAAGCTTGTCGCTGCCGTTTGTCTTTTATTAGATCGGAATATATGCTGAGCCTTTGCCGAAGAGGTTGCATCATTTGGGACTGTCTAGATTCCAGAAAAAGAGAGTTAGCAAAGGTAAAGGTACCCCTGACCATTAGGTCTAGTCACGGATGACTCTGGGGTTGTGTGTGCTCATCTCGCTCTATAAGCCAAGGGAGCCGGCGTTTGTCCACAGACAGCTTCCAGGTCTTGTGGCCAGCATGACTAAGCCACTTCTGGCAAACCAGAGCAGCGCACAGAAACGCTGTTTACCTTCCCGCCTGAGCGGTACCTATTTATCTACTTGCACTCTTTTTTTTGGTGTGTTTTCGAACTGCTAGGTTGGCAGGAGCAGGGACTGAACAATGGGAGCTCACCCTGTCGCAGGGATTCGAACCTCCGACCTTCTGATCGGCAAGCCCTAGAATCTGTGGTTTAGACCACAGCGCCACCCACGTCCCAAAAGGAGAGTTAAAAGGTGACATAGAATCATACAGTTGGAAGGGACCCCCAAAGGTCATCGAGCCCAACCCCGCTGCAATGCATAGAAGCTTATCATTTTATAGCATGGGGAAAGTGAATAGAGAGGTTTCTCTCTCCCCCTCTCCCTCTCCCCCCCCCCTCTCAACTCTAGAACTCAGGGGCATTGAATGAAGCTGAACATTGCAAGATTCGGGACAGATAAAAGCAAGCGCTTCTTCATGCAGTGCAGAGTTAAACTGTGGAATTCACTGCCACAGGAGGCAGTGCCTGCAACCAACTTGGATGGCTTTAAATGAGACAAATTCATAGTGGGTAAAACTCTCAGTGGCTACTTGCCACAATCAGTATGTTCTGCCTCCACAGTCAAGAGGCAGTAATTCTTCTGCATACCCATTGCTGAACAGGAGGGGAGAATGCTCTTTCTTCATCCCCTGCTTTCCTGGTCCCCACAGGCCGCTGTTTTGCAGCTGTGAGAACCGAATGCTGGACAGGCTTGTCCATTGGCCTGATCCAGCAGTCTCTTTTATTGTGGTTGTGCTCATAACTCAGTGAGGTGGGTTAGGCTTAGAGGCAACGACTGGCCCAAGGTGAGCTTCACGGCTGAGAGGGGAGATTTGAACCCTGGGCTCCCACCACCAATGACACATTGGCTCCCAATTGTGCATATGTGTGCAGAAAAGGCACGTGGGGTGCAACCCTAGAGCAAAACGGTGCAAGTTGTGTTGCTTTCACATACAAAATGTTCTGAACTGGTTATGGCAGCCCTGATTACAGTAGGATCAGCCTTTGCTAATTGGAGTACGGCTGTCTTGCCAAATGCAAGACGGCTCTCTTAAAATTAGATTCAGAAGCAATACAAACACAAGTGGGTGAGAAGATTTCAGATTTTATTATGAAATAGCAAGTAAAATATACATTACCAAGCAGCACTTCAATCTGCCAAGGGGAAGCCCTGGAGATGTGGCGCGGTGACCACCAGGTGGCCTCCTTTTGCACAGCTCTGTTGCCAACAGCCGGTGTGCGAATTCCCAGCTCCTATATTCAAAACTAGCTATTTTATAGATGCTGGTCCCTGTTGGGGCCGAGCTAAAAGGTAAAGGGACCCCTGACCATTAGGTCCAGTCGTGGCCGACTCTGGGGTTGCGGCGCTCATCTCGCTTTATTGGCCCAGGGAGCCAGCGTACAGCTTCCAGGTCATGAGGCCAGCATGACTAAGCTGCTTCTGGCGAACCAGAGCAGTGCACGGAAACGCCGTTTACCTTCCCGCCAGAGTGGTACCTATTTATCTACTTGCATTTTGACGTGCTTTCAAACTGCTATGTTGGCAGGAGCAGGGACCGAGCAAGGGGAGCTCACCCTGTCACGGGGATTCAAACTGCCAGCCTTCTGATCAGCAAGTCCTAGGCTCTGTGATTTAACCCACAGCGCCACCCAGGCCCCTGGGGCCAAACTACTCTACATCAAAGACAAAAAGGCAGGCCACACATCAAAGACCCTTTTTCAAGGGATAGAGAAAGCAATAAAACATAGATGACCAGAATCAGGAAGAGATAACCAGACAGGAAGAGTTGGCCATGTCAGATCACTATCTCCTCAAAATTACAATAATCTTCCAGAATAATTATCCCTTACAGGCTCCCGTCATTCCCAGCCAACACATACTTCCTAGGGCTCATGGGAGTTGTGGTCCAAACCATCTGGAGGTTGGTGCACGCTGTGGCAGATACAACACTGAAACCTTCAGCTAAGGTTTTTTTTTTCTCTAGCGGGAGGGCAAACTGAGTGCAAGAAATTATTAGCATGGGGAAGAAAAAATCCGAAGAGGACATTCCCTCCAGTTCCTTTATGTAAGAAATATCTGGTCAGCTTCTTTTGGCCAGCAATTGTGGAATGGAGCCTGTTGCCCCCGCCCCCCAGCGGCTCATGGGCTACAACCAGTATTTTAAGACCCACCCTATTTTTTTAAAAGCTGGCTGGGGCTGATCCTCGGAGGTTGTCCGACACACAAGTGGAGGGCCATGGGATCCCGTCGCCCCCTGGGATATGGCTCTGGTCACTCAAAAAGGCCATTGCAGAGCTAGGAAATATGTAGAACAGATCGGAGAGGGGGATAAGCTTTCCTAGATGAAAAGGCTATAAAGTGCTCCCTTGGTTCAAACTTGGATAGAGTAACTTGGATAGAGTGTATCTGAAGAAGTGTGCATGCACACGAAAGCTCATACCAAGAACTAACTTAGTTGGTCTTTAAGGTGCTACTGGAAGGAGAGAGATTTTTTTTTTTTTGTTTAGAGTAAAAAGTGTGTGCATTGGGATCTGTCTAAAGTGCACCATTGGGGGGGTAAAGGCAAACCGCTGAAGTGTTACAGCACCTGCTGTGGCTGCAGAGACTGATACAGGAGAGATATGATTTGTTGCAGCTGGGGCAGAGGGAGGCGTCCAGTTGTGCTGCTGCAGATTCTTCTCTCTGAGCTCCGCCCAGCAGTCATTCCTCCTCTGGTCACTGCTGCGGATGCACAACCTGACTGCCTGTCTCCAGGCCATGTGATGTAACCCAGCAAGATCTGGAAAGGACAAAGCTGTCTGTTTTAGAACGGAAATGCTTCCTTATTTGCTTTGTTTTGAAAGTTCCTTTTTTGGGTGCCCGTGTACAACAGCCGCCCCTACATCATCATCATCATTATCATCATCCCCCTCCCTGCCCAAACCACAAACACAACATTAGCCTCCTTTACTTGCATCATTTATTTTATTAGTTTTTAAAAGCTGTATAAAAAAGAGGTTTGCTTTTTTTTTAAAAAAAGGCAAAATTTGTTGTATCAATGGTGCGTAAAAACAAGCTGCAGGTACCATATTTACAAAATCATTTTCATTCCATAAATTACAAAGCTCCCGATTGTTATTTACAGAATACATAATATATATCTAAATATATATATTATCTGTCATTTTATCAGCAACAACAACAAGAATAATAATACTTTCCCCAACAAGAAGTAGGTCCAGTCAAGTGCCAACAATCCTTCAGTAGTATTAATAATAGTAAGAACAATAATAATAACTTGATAATAATAACAATAATAACTTGATAAGAGCATCTCTTGAGGTAGGTAAGTATTATTATTGCAGCTGTGTGTATTCCCAGGAGAAAAGACGCAAGGCAGCACGGCATGTATTTATATTTATTTATATAAATATATATATATGTGCGCATGGATTCAAACTGTGCAATCCTAGGCACATCTACTTAGAAGTAAATCCTGCTGGATTTAACTGGACTTACTGCCAAATACATGCATGTAGGATTACAGCTGGGATGAATCTCAGTGCTTAAAAAGACAAAACACCAACCAATTTCTAGACCTTAAGTCAGAGAAGAGGAACCTATGGCCATTCAGACGCTACTAGACTCAACTCCAACCTCCCATCACCACCACCACTGAGTCCAAAGACCAGGTCATCTGAAGGGCCACAGCTCCCCCCCCCAGTCTTGTCTTAAGTAGCAAATGGAAATGTAGAGCTGGAAATGTAGGCGAGAGATGCCTGGATGCATTGCAGAAGCTGGGGGTGGCAGCAAAAGGAGACCTGAGCAGCAACAGCAAGGAAATGAGGCGTTAGCAGAGGGTGGGAGGAACCTGCAGCCCTCTGGGTCACATCAGGCCCCCCCCCGCCAGTGCAGCCCAAGGGCTAGGGGGGGGGGGAAGAGGCTGAAGGGAGCTGGAGCCTGGCAACATCTGTAGGACCACAGGTCCCCCCCCACCTCTGCTCTAATGCTATTTGGACCTCCTTGCCAAATTGCTGCAGACAGAGCGCATTTGCATGCAATGGCATGTTTTCCCATAAAAGTGCAATAGAGATCAGGAGCTCTCCTGTCCCTCTCTTTCAAAGTAGCAGAAGCAGTGTTTGGTTCTAAAGTGCAGGATAAACACACAGCGCCTACAGAAAACCTCTTTGAGAAAAGCCACTGAGAATTAGGAACTCGCGGGTCCTTTGCCCCACCGCTTCACATTTCTCTCTCTATAAAGAGCTGAAAACACACTCACTCACTCACTCACTCACTCACTCACTATATATATATATATATAAATATATATTTTACACGGACGCTCACCTTACCCTGCTCTAACCACTGGCAAACACAGCCCTTCCATTCTGGAAGGGCTTAATCAGACAAACTGGAATGCTACAGTTGTTCAACACCATAGAAACAAGGTCAGCCCAGCCCAGCCCCTCTCAAGGAACCTCTCCAGACTCAAGGAGGAGTCTTAGGAGCCAGGTGTCCTTCGCGAAGGAATACTATGGTTTCCCACCCCAGCCCACCCCAGCCCACCCCACCCCAATAAACACCCCACAACCACCCCAGGCTCTGCCCAGTCTTCAGGGTTTGGATGCACGCTTCGTGAGCCGTTTCAACATGTTGGGGTTGGGTCTCTGGAGAACGGGCATCGTCGGCTGAACGTAATAGTAAGTTACAGGGAAGTAGCTGAACACTGTGCCTTGTGGGTGCGGGATCCAAAGGGGAGACGGCGTTCGGTAGCGATGGGGCTCCTGGAAGGGGGGGGGGGGAGAGAGGTCAGAATAGGACTTCTGAAATATGCAAAATATTGGTGTAGTTTATTAATGCTTGGGCATAAGATAAATGACCTCAGTACAAAACAAAACAGAGACGATTTAACACCTGTCCTGAAAGACCTACATTGGCTAGCAGTACGTTTCCGAGCACAATTCAGACAGCCAGGGTCATCCCCCTAGACTGGTTGCATGTAAGGCAGGTGGGTGGGTTGGCTGAGCTCGGTGGGCCAGTGCCCCGTTTGCCCTAATCCAGAATGCGGCAACTAGACTGATGACTGGGAGTGACCGCCGAGACCACATAACACCAGTCCTGAAAGACCTGCATTGGCTCCCAGTACGTTTCCGAGCACAATTCAAAGTGTTGGTGCTAACCTTTAAACCTTTAAATTCAAAGTGTTGGTGCTAACCTTTAAACAGCCTTGGCCCAGTATACCTGAAGGAGCGTCTCCACCCCCATCATTCAGCCCAGACAATGAGGTCCAGTGCTGAGGGCCTTCTGGCCGTTCCCTCCCTGCAAGAAGCGAAGTTACAGGGAACCAGGCAGAGGGCCTTCTCAGTAGCGGCACCTGCCCTGTGGAACGCCCTCCCATCAGATGTCAAGGAAATAAACAACTATTTGAATTTTAGAAGACATCTGTTTAGGGAGGTTTTTAATGTTTGATGTTTTATTGCGTTTTTAATATTTTGTTGGAAGCCGCCCAGAGCGGCTGAGGAAACCCAGAAAGATGGGCAGGTTATAAACAATAAGTTATTTATTGTTTTTATTATTACAGTACAAAACACTGCATAAAATTACATTGCTGCCTAGAAGCAAACACACAGTACAGAACCAGATTCCCAGCCTCTCTCCTATCAGCTTACGTGTTTGGGCAGATTTGCTCCCCCGGCTTTAATCTGCGATGTCTTTGCTGCAGAACGCCTGCCAGAACTCTCGTCCTCCGAAGACGACGCGCACTCGGAGGGCGACTCCGAAGGAGACTCGGAGTGATAGTCAGACGTCTCCGACTCAGGCGTTGCTTTGCCACTGCTGCTGCTTCTCTCCACTTTCTTCTCCTTCTCCTTTTCCTTTTCCTTCTTCTTCTCCTTCATCTCCTCATCATCCTTCACTGTGAAGGGGCGGCTGTTCTCGCCAAGCCTGGGGTGGGGGAGAAGGAAGGTAGGGGTCAGACACTGGAAAGAAGCACTTTCCCTCTATTAACACTCACAAGCTTCCATTGGAAGGAAGACAGGCAGTTGTTTTATTTTGCAAGCAGAGAACAGTTCCAATGATGGCTTGGTTTTTTTTAATGAAAAATGCAAGGTGAATAGAGAAAGCTCGAATGTGGACCCAGTGAATGGGGACATTTGTTTTAATCACACGTTATAGAAAACAATGAATGCCATAAAGTATTAGATCGAATATTATGTTAAACTGAATGTCCTTAATCCTGTATTTAGACAATACTGTGCTTTAGAGAAACATAATCTGAATCCTGAAATGCTGTTCAAGCAGGGAGGGGGGACTAATTTGTATCAATCTTACTTTTGTAATGTGGTTGGGGGTTATGAAAATAAAGAAGGAAATGAAAATCCATTTACTGTATGCTCCGGGTGATAAGTTATATGAGCTTCTACATAACTTTAAGAACTGAAAAATATGACGAGCTAAACGAATTGCAAGCTTTAAAACTGCTCTTACAAGTTGCTCTATTCATCTGAAGGATGGGGGTGCTTCAAAGAAATTATTGGGTTGACCAAAAACTCAGCTTGAACAAGAATTATTGGTGCTCAATTAAAAATCCAACTTTTAGCATAAGAACTTTACACAACATGAAGGGGGATCCTTCTTTCAAAGGGCGCTTTCTATTACAACTCACCTATGGGGTTGTTGCTTTTTTAAAGGGACGGTTCCGTCGAATGCACTCACCTGCAGGAAACCTCGCCAGGATCAATCCAGATGGTAATTTCGCCTTTCAACGTCAATTCCGAGTAATCAAGACCACTCTCCATACAAGCTTTCAGGATGGCGTCATCCTTGGTATACTGCCTGTTGATTCGGATGCACCTGCGAGGAAGCAGAGACGATGCAGAAAGATTTAGAACGAGATTTGGTGATCAGGCGCAGCAGGTAAACCTACATTCCCATAATGGGGAGAACCACCCGGACACCCCATGGTTTGCTCTTATTCATTTCCTCTAAAGAGCTTGGGGGGGTGGCATCTGCAGTCTCCCCCTACCCCCCCCCCCGATCCTCACAAATCTGCGATGCAGCTTTGTCAGAAACTGAAGAGACCTTTATGTCTACTTAAGAGAGGCAAACCAGCTATTTATACATATTCAAGGTTGCCAGCACTTCCATTTTCACATTTTGAATACAATCATTTCCTGGGCTGTTGAATTAGCATTTTGAATGCATTTTTGTAAACACAATGGGGGGGGGAAACCCTAGAACCACGAAATTATGCTATACACATAGACCACAATCCCTTTCACCTTACAATTCTAAATATTTTATATCTATAAAAATATGCATAATTATTTAACAGGTATACCCCTATCTATAGCATCTTACAAATACTTATTATTATTAGACTTATTGTTTTTATTGCACAATTTAAACTTCAGAATTAAGAACTGTAGGTTGCCTACTCGTTGCGCCCTTTGCAACTGTCTGTCCAGAATCTACGGCGAAATCAATTTTGCTGGGTGAATCTAACATTTCTACTTTTGCTGGGCGACTCAAACATTTGTTCTCTACACGTGCGCAAAGTTAGAAATTAATTGCCACTAAGCTCAGCAGGATTTACTTGAAATGAACATGCTCTGCCACTCGGGTACTCTGTGTGCACAGCAATTTGTAATATTATAAAACAAGGACTGCCAGGTAATAATCTGTAGTACAACAAGCTCCAGACAGAGTCCTTGCAAACAAAGCTTCCAGCTGACCTGCAGGCTGGTGACACAGGCGTAGCAGCAGCCAACTGGTTTGTAAACCACAGTTCTCTATCAGCTACACAAATAGCCTTGAGAGGTACAATACAGTTATTTTGCAGCTAGCTCTGCAAACAGCTGCCGCCATAAAGAGGCATCCAATTGTTGCCTCATCTTCGACAAACAGACAGACAAGAGTCGAGGTGACTAACAATGTCTGGGATCTCGAGACAGAGCAAGGAACATAACCGCTGCTCTGAGTCTATTTCTTCCCCTTTCTCCTTTAAATGTGAAATGTATTTATCCAAGTAGCTAGCCCTCATGGTTCCGGAGCGGAACACAAGTTATTGGCAAAAAGCACAAGCTCTTTTTATCCCTTTCTTTAAGGCAATGAGAATCAGAAGCAGCTGTGTATTGTTTATTTACTCACATAGCACCAAAGTCCCTGCCCCGAGGAGCTTACAATCTAACCTTCAGCCCTAATAAGGAGCTTGCGGTCCTCTAGATACTGCTGAGCCTGCAACTCCCATTATCCATGACCTGTGACCATGCTAGCCAAGGCTGATGAGGAGCTTGTAGTCCTAAACCATTCTACAGCTTCCCCCCACCCTGATCTCGGAGGAAGAAAACTGAGAAGAGGAAGTGAAGCCAAAAAAGGGCAAACAGAGGGAGAATGTGCCTTATTTCCATTACAAGTTCCTAAATTTTGTCACAGTGGTGTGGCAGCCACCGAGCTGTATGAAGTGTAGACTCTTTCACCCAATGTAATGTGTGAACAAGCCTGTTGGCATTCAGAAAGGGAGTTGATTTAGTGAATTTAGTGAATTAGTGAATTTCTATGCTGCTCTCCATTCAAATGAATCAGCTTACAAACAGTGTGCATTTCCAAAACAATTTAAAATCAGCACCTAAAATCAGCAGCCCATAAATGTTGAGGTTTTGTAATAACACGGTATTTGGTAACAACGTGAATGTCAACTTAACCATTAACCGTCCGTTAAGGCCGGGGGGGGATCTGTTTGCTGAAAGCTCTTCCATCAGTTGACAGTATTCCAATTTTAGTTCATTTTTAAAAAAAATCAGCTTCCTTGCTTACCTGTAAGCCTGCCCTTTGCAGGGTTTCTCTGGGTACCAGTGGTCCTTGTAGCGCTCGCACAGGATCGTGGCCAGGCTCTCCCTGAAACGCTCCACCTTCTCCTTCTCCAGCTTCCGGTCGCGATCCATCACGCGGGAGATGAACCAGACTGCTTTTTCCACTTCCTCCTTCATCTTGGGCCCTTCGCTGTGTATGTCCTGGGGGAGAAAAGAAGAAATCCCATTCAGCAACTGAGCCCTACAAAGAAAGCAGCCAAGGGCTCCAGTGTAGGGAGCGGGGAAACTCTCTAAAAAGTCACTTTGTGCCAAAAGAAGTGGTCCTTCAATTTGCAAGGAACAGATTCGAGAGAGAGCTGTGTTCCCGCACAGCACGAGGAAACTCTTTGTTCTAAAAGCTTGCAACACCAGGACCACAAAATAGTGACTCGGGCCTATGAAGCAGAAGTGAGTCACCAAGGCAGAGCTTGCAGGGCTGTTACATCAGGGCTCCTGCAGGCGGGTAACAACAATGGACAGGGCACACAGACGAAAACAGGCAGGGCTGTTGCGGCAGGGGTCAGGGTGCACCCAGAGGTCCTATAGCCCAACCCCATCTGCCCTGTCAGTCCCATACCAATTCAGCTGAGTAGGCAACCTGTTTGATAAAACACAGGCTCCAGGTTTGGGGAAAACGTTTGGAACAAGGTGGCGTTGCAGTGGGCTGCCTTGTGGCCATCTAGGACTCTCTAGCTTGGTATTATTCACACTACCCATCCATCCTTGTGTCAAGGAGGAGGAAGAAATTACAACACAGCCAAAAGGGCATTTGGGAGGGGGGTGAATGCTTGTGGGTCAACACACTTATCAATAACAAACATGTCTCTTAACTATAGCACTCCCCTATGCCCTAGAGGAAAAGGGTCAAAAACTAAGTCCCTTATCTTTTTTTAAAGGGGGAGGGGGAGCCTTCTTAGTTAAGGAGAACCATGAATAAGGTGGGTGAGAAGGCCCTTAACGAAGTTCACAAGGCCCACCAGGGTCAGAAACTCAGGTATATAATCTAATCACCAAATGGCACCACGTGGAGATCTCTGGATGACAGGTTGGTGTCCGAGATCTCCATCTGGTTGACCCTCCAGCTTTCTTCAGAAGAAGCTTATTTATTTCATTGACATCCCACCTTTTTCTCCAAGAAGTACACCATTCACCCACCTCCTCAGTTAATCCCAACAACGACCCTGTGAGGTAGGTTAAGGGGCTGTAACTGGCCCAAGGACACCCAAGTGAGCTTCATGGCAGAGTCTGGGGATTTGAACCCTGGCCTTGCAAGTCCTACTGCGGCCCTGGCTTCCTAGGGTACTACTGCTATAGGGCAAGCTCTATAAATTAAGCAGGTTAAGAAATATGAGGAAGGCAAAACATCACTTTAGAGAAGGATCTTAAATATTTCCCTTGAAGTTTGAATTTGTTTTGTTCTGAGTTGTTTTATTTGATGGCTTAACGGGTTGTAAACTGCTTGAGAGTTTTCCTTTAAAATATAGAGCAGTATAGATGATGATAATGAAGAACAAGAAAAGTAAAGTAAAGGAAGGAGAAGAAGATTATTCACAGGGAGAAGTGGAAATGGTGACTGTAACCTAGTGACTGTAACCTAGGTTTTTAAAGTACCATTTGCCAAAGCTACCTGCCCTACATTCTGCTAGTTCTCTCGATTGATACTGATGGTACCAAGAATTCTACTTCTCTTGCCAATCACCTACTACTCAGGACCCCCCTCCACCCCCCACCCAAACAGCACACACACACTCCAGATAAGAACAACCACCGCCTGGATCCTCAGCCATGCCATTTTGTACGCACACACTCTTCCCCCCACTGGGCTGGCCCGCTCAGTTTCCGGGAACAGCTTGTTGCAAGCAGATTACCTGCCATTGACCGGACACAGAAGTACACACTGAGTTGGTTGCAAAAGGTTGCAACACTAGGGGCTGGGCCTCGAAGCAGCAAAACAAAAAGAGAAAGGGCCATGTGTGGGCTGCAAACCTCTTCCTATCAACACAGGCACGTGACTGGGTACGTCTGCATGCGCTCACACACAAAGCTGCGATCTCTTGCACAAGGCAGTTGGGGCAAGGCAAGAGATTTATGGTTTGTTGATGCGGAAAGAAGGCTCCCTTGCACCCAGCTGTGTTTAGCTTGGCTAGAGAGAGAGGCAAATGAATGTTGCAAATCAGGAAATAATGGTCAATGTTGTTGTCCATCATAACCCCAGCCCTATGCTACCAAAACACACGGAGGCAGGTTCTGCCCCCGCAAAGTTGAATCTACAAGAACCGTCAGCTGAGTGAAATGTGGGCAGAATTTATATAGGAGCACATGAGTCAAAACCAAACATAACTTATAAACAGAGTCACACCTTGGGTCCCTCTGCAACTGTTTTGTCTACACTGACTGACAGTAGCTCTCAATATTTCAGACAGAGATCTTTCTCTGTGTATGACAGGAGTTACCTATGATCCTGGAAAGCTAGTCTAGATGCCACACTGTTAAAAACCCAGATATATAAGCTAGGCGCCAAATGGTCTCCAAACCAGGGTCTCCAAAACAGAATGTCTACTTGCCAGTTAGGGGCCCGATGGATTGTGAGTCTTTTTGCTTCCTGAAGTTCATTCTGACTGCAAGCATAAAATATCATTGATAAAATTCTACAGGATGTGGTGTTAGTGTGTGGAAACAGGCAAGATCCTAAGATGCCCAGGCGTGCACCTCCAGATGGTGGAGACATCAGGCACTACAAGTGACCGATAGCCCAGTGCAAAAATTTGCCCAGCAAACACTGCCTCCAGTTGCTGCTGGTTTACAGTTCCTATCCCCCCAGGGCCAGGGTTGACAGGGGTTGGAACTCAACATCACCTGGAAGGGCACTTGTCCCCCAGCCCTGCAGTGTAAGGCCTTGGAAGCACAGCATCTTGAACTGCACCCAGTATACAACAGGGCTGTTCTGTTGCTCAAGCAGCAGCAGAGGCAGTTCAAGGCAATGTGGGACTTAAGGCGAAGTCCACAAGGCTGGCGCACTTGTACGTGTGTAGGTATGCTCACAAGCACATGCAGGAAAAAAATAACCACCAGTCGTTTAACAGACCATCTGCATCTCTTTTGAAAGAGTGCAGGGATCAGACACCCGACGCAGGCCACCTCGCCTGTCTAATGACAGGTCTGGTCCTGACTGACAGCCATCAAAGAAAAGCCTGGATTATAGGCTAGTTTTGAGGATAACAAAGGAGAAAGTTGCAGCAGCAAGGCCAGGTGTGAGGAACAGATGGTGCTAAACCACAACGGCCACCAACTCCAGCAAACATGGCCAGAAGGGCCCCACCCCACTCCGCACCTGAGCAAGGCACTTGCTGGACAGATAACAAGGATAACGCACGGCATTATTTGCCAGAAACGCAAGCCATTACACAGGTCCCAAGGCTGTAAGGCAGAGGAGAGGCACCTGTTTTTAAGCGTTCACCCACCTCACCCCTCCAAGCCACAAAGCCTGCCAAGTATCATTAGCTCAGCAAGCTATCTGCAGCGTCTATCAGCTCACCTGCGTTTATCACCGACTCAAGAGTCACATTGGGGGGAAAATCAAATGATATCATAGGAAGAGCGAGCCAAAACAATGACACAAAGCGGCTTCCTGGAAATGGTAGTAAACATTGCGGAGCACATTGGGGTCCCACAAACTACTTTGGAATTGGAAGCTAATCCTGGGGTGGAAAAGGAAGCTTCAATTCCTGGCAAGACACACATTACTCACAGGATCACCAAAACCAGAAATCAAAAAATCTGCCCCCACCTGGGAAGCCTGAAAATCTACCCTAAAACATTGTTTAAAACCTGACAAACGCAACATTTAAAAAAATTAAAATCCAGATTTTTTTGGATCACTTAAAATGTGATCTGTTCCACTTTGGGGATCATTTCAGCCCCACAAATATCAAATTTTGGAACCAGGTTCTAACTCAGGTTGGGGGGGTCCTTGGTCTTTTAGATGTTGCTAGACTATGACTCCCATCAGCCCCAGAAAGCACAGGTAATGGCCAGGAGTGATGGAAGTCACAGGTCAACAACATCTGGAGAGCCAAGGGTCCCCTCACACCTGCCCTAGGACCTCAGATGGCCCAGCTTAATGCAGAGGCACACACACCCAAACCAAGTCATGGTTGCTGCCTGAGCACCTGCTGTTTTTCAACTGCCAAAGCCAAATCTGACACCTGTTCCTAGACCTAGACACACACACACACACACACACACACACACACACACGATTTCTCATTCACTTCCCACTCAACCCAAGTGAAAAGGTGAACTGGGAATTCCTTTGTGCTCTCCTCTGCCCTCCCCAAATAAAGGGGATTCTGGAAAATGATTTCCCAATTGCCTCACCTCACAGGAATTTTTAGGCATAGGGGCTTTTCCCACTTCCCTCTTTCTCTTTCTGCCTCACAGGGAACAAAAAGCAAACCCTTCCTACTCCATCCTCTTTTCAATGCCAGCTAACTCGTGAGGCTCCTCACCAACGATACATTCCCGATAAAGCTGTTTATACATCTTTCAAAATAAAAACAAATGTTTGGCCAAACAGTCCGTACCCAGGAAGGAAAGCCTCCATTCAAAACATGCATAACCCGCTCTGTTTGCAAACTTACTGAATGGGTTCTTGCAAGGCACCATTCCTCTCCACTTCAGTGTTCCCCGCCTTGCACAATCCACAGTACAAAAGGAAGTCACACTGGCCTACTTTCCAAGGTTAGTTTAAGTACCACTGAGATGTTCTTCACCTAGGAAGCACACTAAGTAATTGTTTGCAAAGCTAAGCAGGGTCTGGTTTCAAAACTGGATGGATGACAGAGTGTGGAGATTCCTGCATTGCAGGGGGTTGGACTAGATGACCCCTGGGGTCCCTTTCAACTGTACAGTTTTATCATCTATGACCTACTCTGTGTGTGTGGTTTTATGATGATCTTCTGGTGGCTATGAACATTTGGAGGTTATCCTGTTTATAACCCAGGCATTATAAACAATAACCATGCTTCTAGATCAGGGTTTCCTCAAACTTTGGTCTACAGCTGTGTTTACCTAGGGATTATTGGAGTTGTAGTTCAAAAGCAGCTGGAGACCCAAGTTTGGGAAGCCCAGTTCTAGAGGCTAAAGCAGGCATAGGCAAACTGGGCCCTCCAGATGTTTTGGGACTACAACTCCCATCATTCCTGGCTAACAGGACCAGTGGTCAGAGATGATGGGATTTGTAGTACCAAAACATCTGGAGGGCCCAGTTTGCCTATGCCTGGGCTAAAACATCAATCCAAAAGCTATAAAACAGCAAGCAACTGAACACAACACTTAAGACAGATTTATTTAGCCTGGGGCCTCCCTCCAGATGCGTTGGACTACGATTCCCATTAGCCTCTACCAGCACTGATGGGAATTCTCCCTCAAAACATCTGGAAAGTGCAAGGTTGATAAGGAATGATTCAACCTCAACCCTCCCAAAAGTGCAGACAAATTAATTGTTTGGTCTCCCAGCAGCTGTCCAATGGCCATTTAGAAACCTTGTGATACAGATGCTAATTTAGCAAGATCCACCCTCTCCTGGGGCAATACAGGAGCCATTAGGAAACAATTGATTTTATTTAAAAATGCAAATGAGAGGCTATATAAGTGGATCTAAGCTATGCATTGCAGTGGTCATTCCAAAAGCCAAGGTGAGACACACAACAGAGAAAAAAAGAGAAAGCCTTCAGACACCTTATCTAAGCCCATCAACAATGGCCCTTCACAAATGCGACTTAGCAGGCTTTTAATGCTAAGGGGCACCTTTTCTGTTTGGTTATCTTTTTAGGGAGGGGGGTAGGGCTTTAACAGATATTCAGGAATTCAGGCTGCCTTGAAGGAACAAATGCACCCCAATGCCAGCCCTTTAGGCAACCACTTCCCCAAATGCATCATTTAGCTTTAGCTTGTGGGCAGGAAAGAGCTACTACTACTGGGTCACAGCTTGCTACCAGGGGGGTTGCAATAGCAGGACTGTCGCCATGCAAAGTACATGCAGAATGGTCCCTGAATGCATATTTGGATCCAAAGTTAGCAAGACCATTGGCTTAAGGGTGACGAAAAAAATTAATACTATCAAGCAGAGACACCAAAATGCAACACATTGCAACATCTCAAACTGAAGTAACCTACTAGGAATTTTGAGATTCTTTCCCTCCTCAAGAAAATGGGAAAGGATGGGGAAACTGGGAGCACTCAGACTGTTGCTAGACTACAACTTCCATCATCCCCTGGCCATCGGCCATGCTGCCTAGGGCTGATGGGAATTGGAGTCAACCACATCTGGAGGGCTGCAGTTTCCTCATCCCTGTGAGGATTGAGGCACTTGAAGATAATAATAATAACAATAATAATAATTTTATTTTTGATACCCCATCCATCTGGCTGGGTTTCCCCAGCCACTCTGGGCGGCTTACAACACATATACAACCAAGGAAAAATATAAACCATTAAAAACTTCCCTTTACTTAAAAACTTCCCTGCATGCAAAGCTATTTATACTGCACTTGATTTGTCCGCTTGCCAGAACATCCATGAATGAGCCTCAATATAGCATCTCTCCACCTGACATCCCAGATACACACACATGCAAAGTGAGCGTGCAGCCAGGAATGGTCAGAACAGCTCACACGGACCAAACAATGTACTGCACACACTAACCCTAAAAAAGCCTAATATTTAGATCTCAGCTCTGCAACAAACTCTTTGATCCAGTCTTGTGCAAGTCACCAAAAATCCCAGCTACTACCTGCCTCAAACACATTCATCAGGGAGAGAATCCCAAAAACCATGCCCCCAAAATATAACTTTTTAAGAAGGTATATAAACAAGCCAGATTGATTGCATTGCCGGCAGGTACAAATCCACACCGCATAATGGGAAATCCAGACTCAGCAGGTAGCTAAAGACAACCCCCAATTCCTTAGCAAATGTACAAATGGATTTGCAGTCCCATTACACCCTTTGGGTTCTGTCCTAAAAACATCTTAAAATCTGCTTAGCATTTATATATATATATTTGGGGGGTATGTTCTCCCTGAAAATGGAGCTCCATTGAAAGACACAATTCCGTGGACCTATTCTCTGAGAATGTGTCTTTCAAGCGGAATACCATTTCCACTGGGCAGTACACCTCCCCTAACTTTCCTGAACAACAGAGAAACCTCCTCTATTAGCACAACAGAGGATGCAAAACAAGGAATCGGCAACTGAAAATGCAAGAAGAGCTCTGCAGGTGGATCTGACCAACCCCAGATGCCCAGAGAAGCTACCAAGCAGGACCCAGGTGCAAAACCGCTCTCCCCACCTGAGATTCCTGCGCAATATCAAAACAAACAACCCAAGAGACCCCCACACAACTCACCGGCCAAATCACGCAGGAGGGAGCATAGGAATGCGTTTAACAATTTGTTTAACAATAAAGTTCCCAGCGGAGCGCGGGAGGGGAGAGGCAAAGGCCGGTCTCCCTTCTCACCCCAGGCACCGATCTAAATGAAAGTTGCAAAACAAACTACAGTACAGGGCAGTTTCATCAGCAGGAAGGCGATAACGAGCGTCAGAGGAGGAAATACGCAGAGAGTGGGTTGGCAATCGGTAACCTGGGGGAAGTGGGTACCGAGGTCGGGAAAGGGGGAGAAAATGGGGTGTCGAGATGGGTCACAACCGAAGGAGTCGGTAGTCTAACACACGGGAGTCTTTGGAGCACCCCAAAGCCTTTCTCATCCCAAGGCTGCAAATCCTTTACGCACGTCCCTGGGAGGTTGGAGACTCCCCTGAACTGTGCGCGTCCTTCCGATGGGCACGGGGAGGGTCGTGCATGAACCTTTAAGGCGCCACGAGCCATGTGAAAGGGGAGCGGGGGAAGGAATAGACTCGGAGGGGAAGAGGAAAGAAGGATTTGGGAACCAGACAAGGCAATAGAGCGAAAGAGACAGACAGACGGACGGAAAGTTCAGGTAGTTTTGAGGTGTGCTATTGTTAAAGACGGGACGCATGTTACGAGGCCGCCCGGGAATTAGGGGTGGGAATGCGCATGGAGTGGAGGTGGCCGCCGGTGCAGTGCCAGGATGGCTCCGGCGGGGACGATAAGATGAAGCAGGGTTGAGTCAGATCTGGAGGATGAAACTGTGCGGGCGGGGGGGTGAGCGGCACAGGCACAGATAGCAATGCCAGCAATAGAAAATACCAGCGATGGGGAATTTAAAGTGGGTTGGGGTCTGGAGAAGAGGGTGGGAATCGAAATCAAAAATCCTACACGACTTCTCCCTTAACCCCGGATCCGATCCCTATTTCTAGGGACGGAGATATTACAGCGGGTGGGTCAAATCCACCGAGGAAAGGTTTCGGCAAGGACGGGGATCGAGTGCGTTCGCAGGAGATAAAAAGTAATTTAGAAAGAAAACCGGACAGCTAAGCAATAATTCTTCGCGGGGTGGGGAGGGGGGTGTCGTCGGTGCGACGCCAGGAATGTTTGTGTCCGGTCGGGAGAGTCGGACAGGCAGAAATGGCATTTTATTTGGGGAGTGGGGAGGGACTATCAGGGAGAGAAAAGTCAGACGATCGGGGAGTGGGGAAGCAGGGGGAAAGGAAAAATCCGGGGGGGGGAGTCACACACACACACACGCTAAACAGAAAACCAACCGGATCGGGTCCCTTAATTCAGTGGAAAGAGGAAACTCTATGGGAAACGTTTTAGGAAGAAAGAGGGTCTAGTGCATCAATCCCTTGAAGAAACCCAGAATCCCAGGAATAGTTTCCCCATCGCAACCGCCAAACACTCCCCTGGAAGGAGAAGGAAGGGAAAAACTCCAGCTCTCGAGGGGAAAAAAGAGGTACCCGGAGTAAAGAACCCCGCATCAGATCGCGCCCCGCTTCGCCCCCGCATCAGCCTTACCCGACAAGGCAGCGTGCGCTCTCTCACTCGATCTCTGGTCCTCTCCGCTCTGGCCAACCACGCGGCTCCCTTGCTTCGCTCCCTTGGGCTTGTGCGCGCCTCTTCCTGGATCCTCTGACTTATGAGAGGCGGGACCAAAGCGCGGGGGGAAAGAGGCGGGGGTTCCCTGCGCGACTGCCGCGTCAGCGACCATAAATAGAGATCCTGTCCACGTGGGGCCTTCCAGCGTGCAGGGCGAGGGGTAGGAAGCTTAGGGAGGGGAGGGACACGTCACAGGGGGCGTGACCGGCAGTGCTGCGGGGGGTGCTTCAATTTGCTAGGCGCTGTATGGATCTCTGGACAAAGGGATCAACATGACAATAGGAGGAAAAGGCGGGTGGGGAGATGAAAGGGGTTCTTTCTAATCTGATTAATTTAATTTCTACACCGCCCTTATCTGAGGTCGATCACAGGGCGGTTTGCAAAATAAAAACACAAAAATGCGTGACATAGTAAAAAGCAAAGCAATAACACCCCCACGCAGTTTATATGTATACAGTGCTTTTTTCCTGGGCGGACACAGGGGTATGCGTACCCCTTAACATTTTGTGAATCTTTGTACTTTTGACCATTTACTGTATTTATTTTTCCCAATCTGAACTATAAAATGATGATTTTCTCGAGTCAAAATGAGAGTAGCCCTAAACATTTTTTTAGAAAAAAAGCATTGTATGTATATAATATTTCCTTGTTTTACCCAATTGCAAATTCAAATGTATCCCTATCGTGTTTTATGACTTCCCTGGTATTGTATGTGAGCTGGAACTGGTCTGTGACTGAAATAATAAATTTATTATTATGTAATATTTTATTGAAATATAAAAAGTACATAATTGCAAGTGCACAGAGATGCAAAGATGCAAAGAAGAAGGAAAAGAATAGCACCCATGTAGAAAAATAAAACAGAACCGGGAGGAGAAAAAATTGTACTGTATACATTAAAAAATATATGTTACTGTAGTTAACCAAACCTTTATAAAAATAATTTTATTATTTTAGATAATGATTTGATTGGAATCCAGCTGTCTCAGGACTACTAGTACAGTGGTACCTTTGCTTATGAACTTAATCCATTCCGGAGGTCCGTTCTTAAACCAAAACCGTTCTTAAATCAAGGCGCACTTTCCCTAATTCGGCCTTCCACCGTTTGGTTTCCATTCTTAGACTGAGGTAATGTTCTCAAACCAAGACACTATTTCCAGTTTTGCGGAGTTGGTAAACCAAATCGTTCTTAAACCGGACTGTTCTTAAACCAAGATACTGCTGTATTATAGATAAGGATCGAGGTGTGAATGTCAAGGCTTCAGGCTCCTGGAACAAACATTGCTGTACTTGGAAATGAGCATTAGTAGGAACAGGTACATTTTGTTTAGTTACCTTGTTTCATTTAGTACATTTATTTACACGTTGCTCTTCCCTCCCAGAGGATCCCAGGGCCGCAAACATATCTGCGATAAAATAATACAGCTGAAAAGAAGGGAAGCGTATTTTAAAACATGGGGAAGCCTCTAAAAATGATTTTAAAATAATAAACTTAGAGAAACATTGAACAGATTTAAAAGCAGGTGAAATCACATAGTGTGTCCAGGTTGAGCCTGCTGAGACAGGCTGACTTAAGAATGAAATGAAAAAGAAGGTGCAGGATTAGGCCAGTGGCCCATCTAGACCAACTTGGGAAGGTGTCATGGAGACGTGTGGAATAGGGAACTGGAAGGTGTTATAAACCCTAAACCAGGGGTAGGCAACCTAAGGACCGGGGGCTGGATGCGACCCAATCGCCTTCTCAATTCAGCCTGCAGACGGTCCAGGAATTAGCGTGTTTTTACATGAGTAGAATGTGTCCTTTTATTTAAAATGCATCTCTGGGTTATTTGTGGGGGCTACCTAGTGTTTTTACATGAGTAGAATGTGTCTTTTTATTTAAAATGCATCTCTGGGTTATTTGTGGGGCCTGCCTGGTGTTTTTACATGAATACAATGTGTGCTTTGATTTAAAATGCATCTCTGGGTTTTTTGTGGGGCATAGGAATTAGCTCCCCCCCCCAAAAAAAATATAGTCCGGCCCTCTACATGGTCTGAGGGACGGTGGACCGGCCCATGGCTGAAAACGTCCTCAGCCCAGTATACCTGAAGAAACGTTTCCACCCCCATCGTTCAGCCTGGACACTGAGGTCCAGCTCCGAGGGCCTTCTGGCAGCTCCGAGGGCCTTCTGGCAGCTCCCTCACGGTGAGGTTACATGGAACCAGGCAGAGGCGCCTGCCCTATGGAACGCCCTCCCATCAGATGTCAAGGAAATAAACAACTCTCTGACTTTTAGAAGGCATCTGAAGGCAGCCCTGTTTAGGGAAGTTTTTAATGTCTGATGTTTTATTGTGCTTTTAATTCTGTTGGCAGCTGCCCAGAGTGGCTGGGGAAACCCAGCCAGATGGGGAGGGTATAAACAATAAAATTATTATTATTATTTTCTCAATTTGGAGGGGAGATAAATCAAGATGGAATGTTTCGACAGGATGGACATGAGTTTGTGGCTAACGCCATGTGTACTCTGCTTCCCAAACCAGGAGTGGGAACATATTGGATGCCAAGTAAACAGGAGTGTGTACGCAGCCTATGCAGAAGAAGAAAATAGCAAATGGTTTATGTGAAAAATGAATGCATTACAGCACAATCCTGTGTCTACTCAGAAGTAAACCCTACTGAATTCAACGGGGCTTACACCCAGGTAAATGTGAATTAGGACTGCAGCCTTAGTTTATCGAGGTACCCTTGGACTCCTCCTTTGTCCCTTACCTAACACCTGTGTTTGCAAATATGTGTTCCTCACAGTCCTGCGTTACCTTTATGTTTCAGTTTCTGCGTTAGTCTTTTTGCAGCAAGTGGCTACAAAGCCTCCTGTGGCACTTTAAAGTTCTCGCTTTTTACCACCCCTACCAACCCATGTATAAAAATACCTATAATTCGGAATAATGCTTCATGATTCTATAGTGCATGAAAACCTATGCCTCATTTATTTGTTTTTTTTAAAAAATTTTAATAATCTTTATTTGTTTTCAGTTTTTCTGAGAAGAAAATTAGATATAAGAGCACAACAATTTTTTTGCAGTTAACAAAGTGATGTATCCACCAATCAATGCAACTCTTGCTTTTTGCTATTATATAGGTTGTTACAAGAGTTGCCTAGTCCAAGACACCCTCTGCAGTCTCCCATCTCATTTAAGGAGTGTCAAAAGGATTCCATACCTGGCCAAAACAGTTTGGGCGCTATATTAACACCATGCATGTGCACATAAAGCTCTGAGAAACACTTAAGAAGTTATCAAGTTCTTCTTTTCAATTGGACCCCTACCCAAACACATGCTTTATGTTAACTTCCACAATTAAGAGAAACCACACCAGGCTTCATGTGTTACGTACTTGTAATATATGTTAGGTTTTGGGGTTTTTTAAGGTACCGCCAGAAGACCTTTGGCTGTTTTGGAAATGTGTGGAACCCCCCCCCAAGACCCATTAAAGAGTGATGGATGGAGTCTAGGGTGGGCCTATTACCCTTGGGGGCAAATGGTTCAGGAAGAAAAGGCGACACCCAACAAGCAGTAATCTAATCAAGTGTCTTTGATTAGCTCAGGCAGATCTGCCAGATTATCTCCACTCGATCTGTGGAGGTGAAGATCCATCAGCTCTTGGAGCTCTATTCAGTGCAGAGTTGTTCATTGTGGCCCCAGGGCACCCACACTTCAACCTTATTAAATTCAGAATCTAAAATCACCCAAGTGCAATGTCACTGATGATTTGAATACTGCCAATTTCAGCAGCCCATATTAACCAAGAGAAGGAAACTTTTTTTCCTTTAAATGAAATAGCTTTGCTGGAAGAAGAAATGTTTCTTGTCACTTGAAAATTCCACGCAGCTCCCTTCCAAACATCTGTAACTGCCTGTTTTTAGAGGCACCCTTGAAACAGGGTAGGGTGATAGTTCTGAATAGTTTAGAGTGAATTCAATTTCCTTCCTATAATAACTGCCCCAAGCCACCAGGGAAACATGATCTTTTCTGCCTTTTGCGCAGCAGGGATGGGGATCATGCCATGCTAAAGATGTTGCTGGACTACAGTTCCCATCATTCCTGCCTCCTGGTGATACTGGCCAGGACTGATGAGAGATGGAGCTCAGCAACCTCTGGAGGGCCACAGATTCGTCAGCCCTGCTCTAGTCATGAGAATGTAAGAGGAGCCTGCAGGATCAGGTCAGTAGCCCCTCTAGTCCAGCATCCTGTTCTCTCAACAGCCAACTATGTGTCTTTAGGAAACTTGCAAGCAGAACCCAAGTGCTCCCTTCCTTCCTTCCTGTGGTTTCCATAAAATGATATTCAACACTTTGCTGTCTCCAGCTGTGGAAGCACAACATAGCCATTGCAGCTAGTAACCATGGCTAGCCTTGCCCACCATGAATTTGCCCAGTCCTCTTTTAAAGCCTCCAAGTTGGTGGCCATCACTGACTCCTGTGGCAGTGAGTTCCAAAGTTTAACTGCCTGAAGAAGAATTCTTTCTTTTATGAAAGCTTCCTTGGATGTCCCCGAGTTCCAGTGTTATGTATGAGAGAGGAAGAAAAACTTCTCTTTCTCAGTTTCCTTCATGCCTAGGATAAACTTATATATCATGTCATGTCCTACTTGCTTTTTCTGTAAACTAAAAAGTCCCAAGTGCTGCAACCTTTCCTCATTGGGGAAGCCATTCCATCCCCTCAATCATTTTGTCTGCCCTTTTCTGAACTTCCCCAAATATCGTTCTTGAGGCGAGGTGACAAGTTCAGTGGGGATTAACCTTTGTTCATTCACTGCCAGACTACAACTCCCATCATCCCTACCATTCGGGCTGAAATTGATGGGAGTTAGATTCCAATAACATCTGGAGATGCACAGGTTTCCCTCCCTAGAGTGGACTTGCCCAAACCTGGGTCTCTCCAACTGTTTAGGGATTACAGTTCCCATCATCCCTGACCACTGGTCCTGCTAGCTAGGGATGATGGAAGCTGTAGTCCAAAAACAGCTGGAGACCCAAGTTTGGCGAACCCTGTCTTAGAGGAATGTATTAATTCCTGTGTTAATAAATTCCTACTTTGCACTATTAGTTTCTTACTTGACTGTCTCCCGTGATGTGGAATACAGACGGACTTTTGCAGGGATGGGGTGGAACATGGGTGTCGGAATCCTGAACAGGGAACAGGCCACATGGCAACATTTTGTTGCAGGACCTGCTCATAATCCTTGGCTTAATTTCCATTCAGAAAACTTCTTTTGGTTTCGCTGCAGCAGGCAGGTCCAGTCAGAAAGTGGGTCCATCTAGTCCGCACTGCGTGGCAGTAGCTCTCCAAGGTTTCAAGCCTTGTCAGGACTTGAACTTGGGACCTTCCACACGCAAAGCAGATACCCTCTCACTGAGCTATACTGCAATACAGCTCTGTCCTTGTAGATTTTATGTCTTCTAATCTCTCCATTTTCAGATTTGAGTGCCTTGCTCGCTTAACAGGAAGGAGATATCAGTAGGCTTGGAACAACCCTATGCTCTGCAGAAATTTGGAGCGTGGGGGGGAGAAACCTCTTAATGGGGATGGGTGCGGGAGAAACCTCTAAAACAGCCCAGAGAGCACCCAATGTGCTTTTTTCCTTTTGTTGCAACAGGCTCAGACAGGCCTAAACAAACAACAACAGACAGACAGACAGACAGACAGACAGATGCACACTTTTGAGTTTTTGCTAGTCACCAGTCCACCCACCCCGTCATTAAATGGGAGAGAGATTATCCTGAGTACAAATTGCAAAACTCATAACTTGTCCTTAGAAGTTCCAATGTGTGACCTGGATTATTATTATTCTTTTAATTGTGTCGTAATGGTAATGGTGATGTCATCATTGTACAGTCCTTACCAAGGCACAGCAAAAAGAAGGGGTTGGTAGAGGGGAAGGGAGGAATGTTCTGTGAAGTTCCTCCCAATTCACAGTTTGATGTCTGTAGCCCAGCGATAAATTGTCCTAAGGAGCAAACAGAGAGTCGATGCTTAGTTCAATGGCTGTTCCAAATACTTAAAACTAACATCTCTTAGCAGCTGCTTAAGAGATAAGATTAATCAAGGCTGCATTCTTATGTGGGAGAAAGTGCTCTTGATCTCAAAAGGACCTTTAAATCTCAAAACAAAAATGTGAGAGAGGTTGGGGTTGGCCTAGGGTGTGATTGTTTGCTTGTGATTGGCTGTGGTGATCTTTGTTTTCGTGTGTGAGTGAGGTGGGTGGGTGTTTTGGATCAGGTTAGGCCATATTGATTTGTATGCTGTTGGTGGATTATTGTCATTGTCCTGTTGGGCTGTGTGTGTGATAAAGGGGAGCCATACCGGGGTGAAGGCATCTTCTTCTGTTTGTCCCCGTGTCAGTTAGAAACACCGCCACCCAATCCCACCCTTATCCATCTTCCCTCTCTCCACCCCCCTTTCTCTTTTCTCTCCTTTTTTATTTTTATTTTTATTTTCTTCTCCCCCTAATGCCTCAACAAATGAAACGGATTTGTAAAAATGTTACATGGGGAAAAATATATATGAGGCACTACACTTCTGTAAAACAAGAAAATCCTTAATAAAATATTAAACAAAAAAAAAAAAAAAAAAAAAAAAAAAAAAAAAACAAAAAATGTGTAGGATGTTTAGCCGGCCAAATTTAACCAGCAGAGCTACATGCATAACAGAGCACTTTTTAATGTGTTTTTGGCAGCTCCCGAAGATGGGGAAAATATTTTGAAAGGACAACTTTTCCCTCTAACAATGGGAATTGGGGTAGTTAAACTTCCAGGGTTTAACAGATCAAACTATTTTTAAAAACCCAGCTCTTTTTGAGAGATGAGAAAAGTAACCTGAGGCTTCCAAATGCAAAAATGTAGGAATACAAAAGGCTTCTAAAAATAAAAATCTGTTGGGTGGAAAAAAAGCTGCTCTAAAATGCAAGGTTTCAAATATAATGTGACCAGGGACGGATGAATGGTTGAGTCTCTACCTCTGTTCATCCCTAAGCCCGTTCTTAAATTGTTTTAAGCATGTAAGGTTTCAAACAGGTGAAAACTATGAATGGATGGATCCGTCTGAAAAACATTTATTTATTTATTTGCTTCAGAACTTTGACTCCACTGACCTGAAAATCAGGGGAGCAAATTTCTTTTTATTGAATGACAAAAGAAGTGTAGCTGATGCTGAACAAATTGGCTACTACTGAGTTGTTTATTGCAGTAATATGCAATAAAATAAAATATATTTAACTAGAGTTGCAACTGTTTTGTTTATTAGCCAGTTGGAACGATCATTTTATACATATATATATACACACACACACACACACACACACACACACACACACCTGGCACTAAATATGTGGTCTTAAGAATTTATTTGCTTATTTTTCGATCATAATTTTTAATATTGGTGTGTGTTTTTCTAAAAAAAATGTTTAGGGGTACTCTCATTTTTCTACTCATATTGAAATACTGCCCCTCAATGAGGCCAAACTTAAAAAAAAAACATTTAGCGGTATGTGTACCCCCAGGGATAAAAAAACACTGTTTAATATAACTTATTTACAACACACTTGAGATGGTGAACACCATTCTTCCACTTGTGTGTGAGGAGGGAGGCAAACACATCTTCTTTGGGTATGCCAACCTTATCTGGAAAAAATCAGGAATGATCTTTTCTCCCCCTTGAAAATGGGTGTTTCTCATATGCAGATTTGAGCAGATTTAATCAGTTCCTTGATCAATTGCCTTCCTATGCAGACTAACTCCCTGGCAAATGGGTGTAGTTTTGCAACCCTGGATTTATTTAGTCAGGTGACAGCCTTAGATTTAATCAGTTAGTTGGTTTAAAAGGCAGGTTATTAAACAGATACTAGTTTTAATCAATTGACAAGACACTGTGAGATTGGCCACTAAACTTGGCAGAAATGACCGGCAGAATCCGAGACCAGGGAGAAGAGTTGGTGGAAGAAGATTGGAAGAAATTTAAAGACTACCTACAGAAATATTGTAAAATTAATGAATGTTAGAATGATGTTGGATGAAAAGTTATGTGGTTTTTAGCTATAACGCTATAAGGAGTATGGGGGAAAAATGGACAATTAACAGACAAAAATTTAATGTTACTTTATTTTAAGATTAGAGATTAGGATAAAACAAAGAGGGGAAGGATTTGCTGAACTAATAAATCGAACTGGAATACAAAAAGGGAGGTGTGAGGAGGTCCGGGAAATAAGCAAATGAAAGAAAGTGATGGAAAGATGGAATTGTTTTTTATCTATTTTAATTTTGTATTTTTCTTTTTTCATGTTGTAAAATTCTAATAAATATCTTTTTTTTAAAAAAAAAGAGATTGGCCACTAAACTGACCCTGACAGCAATCTTCTTACTTTCATTGTCCATCTTGTTTTCAGTATTGTCTACTTTTATAGAAGTTGCTCTCCAAAGACTGAAGCTTGGGCAACTCTATGTGCAAAACACATCTTCTACCCCTGAGCTGAGGTTGTTCCAGGCAAGGAAACCGGTGCCTCGGTACTTTTCGTTTTTATTTGTAAAATGAGGCGAACGGAATTGGAGATAAAATAAAGCAAGTCGCTTTATTTTGGAATCCCAGCCCTGTGTGCAGGAAGAACTGCAAGGAAACTCACATTGCTATCATAGTGGCCAACGTTGAGAGCATGGCTATTCCTACGATGAGGAAGACAACGACCTTCTTGTGGAGGAAGTCTGGCCCAGAGAGAATCTCTTCCAAGGATGGCATCTCTGAGTCAGTTAGGTTGGTCTGCACCTCCTCTCCCCATGTTTCACCTGCAACCTCTACCATCGGCGGGGGGTTCAAGATGGCTTTGAACATATCCTGCAACTCTTTCTCTAGATGAAGTCTCTTCTCCGTCACTGCAGAGGAGAGGGAAAATCCAAGCCGCTTAGCCAAACCATCATTGAAAGACCAACCTTGCTATATCTTATTTGAGAACATATGAGGAACTTTGCTGGGTCAGGCGAGTGGTCCAGCATCCTGCCCTTACAGTGGACAACCAGATGCCTAGAGGACCTGAGCGCAACAGTTCTCACCCTACTTGTGATTCACAGCAGCTAGCATTCAGAAGCATTATTGCTTCAGACCATGAAGGCAGAATGCTGACATCGCGGCTGGTAACCATTGATGGGCTTCTCCCTCCACGACTTTGTCCAACCCTCTTTTAAAGCCATCCAAGTCTGTGGCCATCCCTGACTCCTGTGGCAGGGAGTTCCACGGGTTAACAATGCACTGGATTTACTGCTTAGTTGTCAAAGCCTCTAAGCGGTTTACGCAAAGCACAAAACACACATTAAGTTACCAATAAAATAATGCATTAGGGAAAAGGTTGGCCTTAAATGGCTAAATGGTTCTGTCATTGAAGATTCCTGTATCGTAGGGGGTTGGACTAGATGACCCTCGGGTCCCTTTCCTAGAATTCTATGATGCTATAAAAAGAAAACCAGGAGTTAAAAATAAATAAATAAATAAACAGTATAAAAACACACACATGCCAGATTGATATGTCTGGGCAGGCTTGCTTAAGCACAAAAATTTTTAGCAGTCACTGAAAAGAAGACTGCAATAACAGCTGCCTAATATAAATGAGCAGGGAGTACCAAAGGACACTGCCATACTGAAGGATCAGTTTCTTGCAAGTGTGGGATGAACTTTACATGGCAATTGTCAAAAGGCCAGTTCTGTTAAGGGCTTTTTGTACCAATTTGACGTGGCAAATTCAACGTGTTGCTATTTAGTCCGTGGTTGCCAGTTTTTAGGGACAGAAACTCCTGTATGTTTAATAGTTGAGCAACAGGCAAAAATGCAACCATTTTTTAAAAAAGTCATTATTTTTTTATTTTTTTAAAGAAAGTCTGGCTTTCTGCCCCTAGCAGCATCAGGGTGCAGTGCTCAAGGCACAGGATCAAGAATGGGGAGAGCCAAATAAAAGGCTTTTTTGATGAGCAAACGCTTTTTGATGGAGCAATTCTGGTTGAAATCACCCACCCACACAAAAAAGGAAAGGGGAGAGAGTCAGGCTCAAAAAAACCCCCACTCAGGCATGAAACTCTTGCCAGATGACCTTGGAGCACTCACTGCCTTTCAGCCTTATCCATTTCAGATAAAGGGCAGGATGACCACATCCTGAAACCTTTGGAGGAAGGGCGGGTTACACATGCGCAGGAAATAATCAAAAATCCCAAGCACACAGTGATGGGGAAAGCTTTACCTTTGTATATTATTGCTGCGACATCATTTGACTGGGCCCCACATTTGCCTCCTGGCCCAGGTACAGTGGTACCTCGGGTTACAAACACCTCGGGTTACAGACTCCGCTAACTCTGAAGTAGTACCTCGGGTTAAGAACTTTACCTCAGGATGAGAACAGAAATTGTGTGGTGGCAGCGGGAGGCCCCATTAGCTAAAGTGGTGTCTCAGATTAAGAACGGTTTCAGGTTGAGAACGGACCTCCAGAACAAATTAAGTTTGTAACCAGAGGTACCACTGCATAAGAAAAGGTCACGTCCACTCCATGCATTGCTTGTTTGTTTATTAATTTGCCCTTCACCTTGAGGTCCCAGGGCAGGTTAAAGCACAATATTTAAAACAATTTTAAGCAACTTGCAGTCGCAGAAATAAGGTGGGTCCCCCAAGTATATACAGTGCTACCTCTGGTTATGTACTTAATTCGTTCCGGAGGTCCATTCTTAACCTGAAACTGTTCTTAACCTGAAGCACCACTTTAGCTAATGGGGCCTCCTGCTGCTGCTGTGCCACTGCCGCACAGTTTCTGTTCTCATCCTGAAGCAAAGTTCTTAACCTGAGGTACTATTTCTGGGTTAGCAGAGTCTGTAACCTGGAGTGTCTGTAACCTGAGGTACCACTGTATAGCTCTCAAGTGTCAACAGCCAGGGCAAAAAGGTGAGCCTTGAACTACTCTTATGCTACTTTCACAGCCATTGCTTCCCAAGAAGAAACTGTAGATTATGAAGACTACTCCAAAACGTCCATTTCTTTAAAAAACACACACCCTAAACTGGGACTCCTGGGTGAGTCATGTGACCTGTACTTTGCTCTCACCCTCCCAAAAAATGGGGGTTTTTTTTGGGGGGGGGTGAGAGCACGGCACCCAAAATGACTGCCGAGATCTCATATGAGAAAATGGGATGTCTCGTATTTGGGGGGAACTTGGGAAGTGTGGTACTGGGAATTGTAGCTTGGCAAAGGGCAAGCTACAGTTCCCAAGATTCCTTGGTGGAATCCATGGCTGGTTAAAGTCGTATAAGCGGGCTTAAAATGTATGGTGTGGTTTTGACGTAACCCAAGCTCGTCTAGGCCTCACCAGCCAAAAACAACTGGACTTTTCTGAGGAGCCTATTTGTGCCACAAGCCCCAACTCCTCACCGTTGAGGTAGAAGAACTTCCTGACCAGCACCCCGTCCTCCCCAGCGATCTGGCAGGCGAAAGTGCCATGGTGGGATCCCAGGGTGGGGCGGATAAGGAGGGAAGGATTGAACCCAAAGTTCAGGTCTTGGAAGAGGAAAACTTTGTTGGTTCTGATCTGCAGGTGGAGAAGTGGAAAGAGAAGAGGGGTGAGAGAAGGAAGGGAGGGAAATGTAAGTGGTACAAGTCCTAAGCATTAACTCAGAGCAGGGCCTTTACTGTGGCTGCCCCTGTGCTGTGGAATAACATTTCTGCTGAGATATGACAGGTGTCACTATCAGTACACCTTCTAAAACAATCGAGGACATTTTTCTTCTGACAGCCTTTCCCAGATGGTTGAATGGGTCTCTCCTTGTTAGGATTTTGGACTCATTTTAAATATATTTGTTGTTTTCACATTTGTAGCTGCTTTTTGTGTATCTTGCTTATGTAAATTGCTTTCAGACAGCGGTTTAGAGGATTCATGATAAATCGATGGTAACAACAATAAAGGGATAGGACAAAAATGACTCTGAATACGGTGTGCCTCTCATGCAGTCATGCTTATGACTGTTTTTAATGACGTAAAGCAGCCATGCTGCGACTCTTCTCCCTCAGGTGTTTCCTCAGATTCTTACCTGGATGGAGGCGAATCCTGGTGGATCCTCTGAACACTTTTTTTTTGCACCCAGGTGTGGAGAACCTTCTTGTCAAGGAGGAACTGCACACAGGAGGAACTGCATTCAGCTAACTTTTATTCCAAGAGGACCCGTTGTAAGTAATGGCCATGACCATCATTCAGATGGGTCCAACTCTGAGTAAAAGTTAGTCGAATGTAACCCAATAGTGTGTAGTTGCACGATTTTGCACCCACACCCAGCTCTCCTGAGGAATTTATTTTGCCAGGCAAACTAGCTGTAGGTTGCTGCAGATTGTCTAGTGTGGAGGCTCCAGCCATTTCTCTGTTCAAAATCAAACACTCCCCCCCCATCTTAAGCGAATCTGTCTTTCTCCCTGGGTGATGGAATATAGGGGGACCTGTATAGATTATTTTCTCAAGGAGAAAAACCTGATGTGTGTGTGTGTGTCTTTTCAAGTTCCACCTTCAGGCACACAAACATTGCCCCTTCCCTTAGATCAGGAGCAGGGAACCTCAAGCCGGAGGGGGGGGCGGTTAGGGGTCTGCGGGTCAAATACTACCCTCTGAGATTCTCTGTTTGGCTTCCAAAACTCGCCTCTCTCCACCCTCCCTCTCCCCAGGCCACATCTGCTGTTCCTGCATCGCATCCTCCCTGAGAATTTTTTGCTCGGCTGGAATGTGTCCTTCAACTCTGATAATGCCTTTTGCTTTCCTGGATTAAAGAAAGGGAAGGGTGTTTGTAGGAACGAGCCTCCTGCACAAGCACAAAATTTGCCTTTCTCGCTCTGTCCGCATCTGCCTTTGTCCCCACTGACCAGTAGCTCCAGAAGCCTGCTCAGAAGTCAATGTGGACCTCCAGCTGGGGGGGGGGGGAAAGGTTTCTCATCCTTGCCGTAGCCTTTAAACTGTATTCTGAGAGCTTGCGATCGCTTGTGCAGATTACAGAATGTCCAAGGACTATCTGTGCAGGCTTGCAAGGCCACAGAAAAAGTACACCAATGTTCCTGTTCCCAACAAGCAGGAAGCCAGGTGTCTTTGCAAGTAAACAGGGGCCCCTTGACCTTGATAGCGGTGGCTTATTGTTGCTGCTTGCATCTAGGGATCACAGATGCATTGTGTCTAGAAATACATGGTGGTTCTATGCAGGGCCGGGTTTTGGTTTGATGAGGCCCTAAGCCAGGGGTCTGCAAACTTTTTCAGCAGGGGGCCGGTACACTGTCTCTCAGACCTTGTGGGGGGCCAGACTATATTTTTTTGGGGGGGATGAATGAGATGCATTTTAAATAAAAGGACACATTCTACTCACGTAAAAACACACTGATTCCTGGACTGTCCGCAAGATTGGGCCAGATACAGCCTTCTGGCCATAGTTTGCCTACCCATGCCCTAAGCTACTGAAGGTAATGAGGCCCTTTATATGTCCAGCTGTCCTTTGTCAACAACAAATTGCCTCTGTTTTTTCTGTTGAATATATGCTATATGGTAATTTATGGACCTAATAGGTATCTAAAACCATTTGCACATAACAAATAGGAGCCTACACAACACTGTTGCTGTATGTAGGTTTTATTTTATTTGTTTTTGTCTTATATTTTGGAAATGTACATCCAGGTTTTTTCTTTAATTTTTGGGGGGCCCTAAGCTATAGCTTGTTTAGCTTATACATAAATCTGGCACGGGTTCTATGAAACGATACCAGACTTCTTGGTCGGTTTCAGAGTCACTTTCAAGACTGTCTTGAGACCAGTCAGTTTCAGCTGCCAGGGGATGATCCTCTTTGCAGACTGAGCGCTATTCTGCTGTGTGAGTATATATATTATTGGGCTACTTACACATACACAAAAGCATTCTCACCCCTCCTCAGGAACACAGTCCTCCTTGCAGTGAGGGCTCCAAACCGTTAGACGTGCATTGGATTTTGTGTTATTTCTTTTGAATGAAGATTTGCAGGACTACACCACAAATCGGTGGAGACACACTTGGAATTAAGGAAAGCCCTAAGAATGGCTTCATCAACTATGAACCCCAAAATCTGGGGTCCCCTCCAAACCTGAGTCAAAGTTTTGCGGTTTTTTTGCAGCAAAAACCTTGCTCAAAGCACCTTTGAACAAGGGACACTGTGAGGAGCATTTAATCTTCTGGTATAGAGCTACCTCACAAGCAGGGGGTTTAGCGAGGAGGGCTCTGTTTCAACCACCCAAGAACCACTTACTTCCTTGGCAAATTTCCATCGGAAGGTTGCGTCTTCAGGAATCTCAAACTTAACTCCGCAGCTGAGAAGTGTCACGTCCCCTTCAGATTTATGCACATCCTGAACTGGGAGGTTGGGAGATGAGGAATTGGGGAGCGGGGAGGAGAAAAAATCAAATTGATATATTTTTCAGCAGAGTAAGTCAGATTGGGGAAATTTCTCATCCTAGATGGTGCTCAGAAACATTGTGGCCTTGTACGCACTATCCCTTTAAAGCACATTCAAAAGATGTTGTCAACTGCCCTGAGATCTACAGACGAAGGTCAGTATACCAGTTTAAGACATCAATAATAGATAGTTTGCTCCTCATGGAGTTTCAGTTCCCAGCGGTCACAAACTACAGTGCCCAGAATTCTTCTGAGCGAAAGAACATACTTCAAATGTACTTAACACAGGTATGGAATCATCATAGAACCATTCCCAAGGGTCCTCTAGTCCAACGCCCCTGAAATGCACACGACATAAGTCTCCTATTAAGCTGTGAGCCCAATTTGATGCGCATCATTCACCAGGGCAATGTGGAACATAGGAAGCCCCCCTGAAACTCCATCAAAGCTTTAGTCAGTAGCTCTTTAGGGGTTTCAGACAGGAGCTCCCTCCCCCTCCCTATCTGCAAATGCCAAAACAAAATAAAAAAATTCCTTCCAGTAGCACCTTAGAGACCAACTAAGTTTGTTATTGGTGTGAGCTTTCGTGTGCATGCACACTTCTTCAGATACCAGGAATTAAATGCCAGGGATTGAACCCACGATTTTTTGGTATGCAAAGCATGTGTCTTACCACGAAGCTATAGCCTTTCCTTATCCTTCCAACTCTACAATTCTACAATTCTCCCCTCCCACATCTCTGTGGTTTCCATAGCTCTCAGTGCAAGTTCCTTCTTGGTACGGTTGGCACAGAATCTTTCCACCACCTGGGCCAGCAAATATCCCTGACCCCGAAAATCAAGGAAGAACCAAGAGGGATGTACTCGGGCAATCGATGGGCAGCGAGCAGTCCACCATGGTGCAAGACGAGCATCGGTATTGGCGAGCCTCTTTCTGGAACCCTGGGAGGAAGATGAAAGAGTGAGATGGGAATAGATGCAGATGCCAGGGAGGGAAGCTGGAACGGAGGGGCAACGGGATAGGCTAGGAAAGGGGTAGGTTTTGGCACTCACCACACGGTGGGATGCAGGCTGGAGCTGTACAGGAGGAGAGGAAATTGCATTATTTGTTTGCTTGTTTATTACATTTAAAATTATTGTTGTTATTATTATCCGACCTGTCATCCAAGGAGTTAAACTGAGGTGTCGTCCATGCTTCTCTCCCCACCCCCATTTTATTCTCACAACAACCCTGTGAGGTAGGTTGGACCTGAGACAGTGACTGATCTGTGGTTGCCCCGTGGACTTCATGACTGAGTAGGGGACTTGATCTCCCTGATCTCCCAGGTCCTGGTTCAGCACACCACGCCAGCTCTCATCTACTACCCATTTTTAAATTTATTTTTTATTGCAATTTTGCAAGCCGCCTTGAGCTTTTGTATTGGATGAACGTATGGGTGGAGAATCTGTAGGCATCCAAACATAGCTGGGCTACAAATTCCCATCCTCCATGCTGGCTGGGGCTGGTTGGAGTTGGAGACCAACAACTTCTGGAGGGCTGTGGGTAAGCCAGCCTTCTTGTAGAAGAACCTATCAACCCTGCTGGGTCAGAACAAAGGTCCATCTAGCCTTTGATTCTATTCAAACATTTACCACATGAAGAGGAGTCCGAATGCCCTCCCCTCAAGGGTCAACCCATTAAAAAGTCTTATTATATCACCCAGGCACCACTTCCTGTCTTTATCTATCTGGCTAAACCGCTTCTGGCTGCTTCAACTCTGCTGCAGGGCAGGGCCAGCCCAAATCACATCCCCACTTCAACCCCAGCAATCAACCAGATACTTCTGTGAAGCCCATGCGCTGGACATGAAAACCTCTCCTGTTGTTTGCCCCAGAGCAATCGTTATTCCATTGTACACAGTCTCAGAAACTTCTGGGTCTATTCAGCCTTGTAATTAAGCACTAGCCTGGTAGTGGTAAGCAAGAATGAATTCCATGCAAGTGAGTGAGAAGGTGACGGAGGAGGAAAAGTAATGGAGTGTTCTGTTTTTCCTCTTGTCCAGTGTAAAACCAAGTGGGTTGCCAGAAGGAAACTGCTGGATCAGGCCAATGGCCCACCTAGTCCAGCATCCTATTCTGGCCAACCAGATGCCTATGGGAAGCTCACCAGCAGGATCTGAGTGCAACAGTGCTCTCTGCATTTGTGATTTCCACCAAATGGTATTCATATATTGTCTCCAACAGTGGATGGAGAACATAGCTGGAGCCACTGATAGCCTTCAATCTCCATGAATTCATTGAAACCCCTATTAAGATTGTCCAAGTAATAGCAAAGCAACTCCAGCACCTTTCTCCATGCCTAGCATGGCTGGTGGAGCTGTCTGGCCATCCTCTGGTAAATATTTCCACAGGCTAGTAACTTCTATGGGCTTGTTTACAAGCCTGATTTAGCTATCGCATCTAATAGCCACAATAAAGGCTGAGACATCAGCAAAATATTGTGAGACATACAAGAGGAGATATACTTGCATTTTCCCAGCCACATGACAATGCACCCAGCCAGACAAAACCTATGCTCAGTTAGTCACGGATGCAAAGCTATCTTCAAGTTGGAGATAGAAAAGGAGGCTGTGTGGTGGAGGGAGCAATGTTTGCGGACTCCAAAGAGGGAACAGGCAGCTTTAAGACAGCACCTTTGCCCCGCGTCCAGTTATATCTCTGCATTACCTGCTTTGAGCTGTGCCATCTCTTTTTCAACCTGCGTCTCAGCTTCTTTAACTGCCAGGGGATAAGGCACTATGAGGGCAGATGGAGAAGGGTGTCAAGTTATTCCTTTGGATGCAAAAGGCCATCTTGGCAGTCAAAATAACCCCACAATTAATGGGTAGTTGTCGTAATCGTGAGCTCATACTGTACATGTTGCTATTCACTTGCTTTGATACAGGCTAATTGGCTTGCTTTGATGCTATCCTTATCTGTGGGCTTGCTTGGGATGCTGGGCTCTGAGCCCAGAAAGGGAACTATCTGCAAGATTCGGGTTGTTTGCCACCTATGCCCTTATGGGAACAGCTGGCCCAAGTGACCTACAATGCCTTGTGTATAAAGAATGTATGATTGTTTGCATGGGACAAGCCATCGCCTTGCTGCAGTGTCCGTCTCGCAGTCTGTAAAGGCTGGGATACCTGGCAGGCTGATTTGCTGTAAGTCTGCACCTTCTTTAATAAAGCACTGGAACTGATTGCTCTGATGTTTCTGACATCCCTGTACCCAACCACCCCCACAAACCCAACTTTGGGTCTGTGATTCAGAACAGTGTATCAGAAGTTTAGCAGGCAACCTGAGTTTGCACTTTGGGCCTGCAGTTCAGAACAACAACAACTCCCATCAGCCCCAGGCGGCATGGGTAATGGGAGCCGTAATCCAAAACCTATGGAGAACTCCAGACTCGAGAAGCACTCTTTGGCCAATGCAGGATCCATTCTACTCTCCCTGTCCCTTAGAGCCAAGAAACTGGCCAATCTTACTGTACATGGAAGCATCTTTCCTAAGCCCCACCACATATTTCCTTCCCTGAATGTTCAGCCTGGAAAAGAGGAGACTGAGAGGAGATATGATAGCCACCATCAAACATCTCAAGGGCTGTCCCACAGAAGAGGGAAAAAGCCTGTTTCCTTCTGCTCTGGAAGGTAGGACTCCAACCAAGGGCTTCAAGTTACCAGGAAGGAGATTCTGACTAAACATCAGGGAAATATTTCTGATGGTAGGAGCTGTTCAGTGGTAGAACCATCTCCCTCGGGAGGTTGTGGACTCTCCTTCCTTGGAGGCTTTTAAGCAGAGGTTGGGTGGCCATCTGTCATGGATTCTTTAGCTGTGATTCCTGCATTGCAGGGGATTGAACAAAACAACCTTTAGGGTCCCTTCCACCTCTACAATTATATAATTTTATGATTTCAACGTCTAATCACCTTTCCTACCTTAAATATTCAGAATAATTTCTTGTTCTCCATACATGGGACAGGTGGGGTTTTTTAAAAAATGGATTTTATTTTCTTTTGTTAGGGTTGCAGCACTGCCACTGCTGACATATTTTGGGCGCTAAGGAAGGGCTTATCTCCCCTCCTTACCGCCAGCTGGCTTTTGGTAAACTAAAATGGTGTTGTTTTGTTACTAGTGCACCACAACAAACCTTCCTGTGGCTGTTATGGGGTCTGCTTTGTTCTGGTTTTTTTTGGTATAATCATGCAATGTATTTATATTTATGTTTTAAATGTATTGTGCGTTTGTGGCCATCGCTGACTCCCGTGGGATAGTGAATTCCACAGTTTAGTTATGTGCTTTTACAGATAAAGAACTCTGGGAAAGGAGAGTAGGGACCTTGAAGTTGCCTAACAACAGCCAGCTTCCCAGGCTGCGGACTGAGCAGGCACATGGCTAACCTTTTCAGAATTTCCCCTGCTATGGTGAGATGTGGTTGCATTTAAACAACAGCAATTCTTCCCAAAAGTTTATCTGTACACGTGAATTAGGTCCACATTTTAAGGCAGATTTATGTTCTCGTTTTTGGAGCTATGGAAATGGGCACCCAATGAAGCACAAACGAGAAGATTTCCCCCCTCTTTAGAACCACTGTTCTTTTCTGATATGCATATTTATGTAGCCTGAAATCAATTTAAAGATTAAGCAGCTGAGAATTATTCTACACCGTGCTTTTTTTCTCCGAAAAAAATTTTTTTAGGGGTACTCTCATTTTCCTACTCATGTTGAAATACTTCCCCTCAATGAGGCCAAACTTAGATTCACAAAATGTTTAGGGGCATGCACCCCCCCCCCGAAAAAAGCACTGATTCTACAAAGTGACAGCCCTGGCTTATTTTCTGCCTTACCCTCTCCCTCACAGTGCCCTCGTGGAACCATTTAAACCCCCAATTTGCTTTTTATATTGCAAAACCTTTAAGAGACATGAACCCTTGAAAGCAATTATGGGTCCGATATTGTGCTGCCTTACCTGAGAGTATGCCCCCATTGAAATCAGTAGGACATGCTCCCAAGTCCATGGGAGCAGAGGGCACACACAATTTTTTTAAAAGAGAGAGTTCTGTATTGACATGTAAAGTTTAGACTTAACACTACAGGAAATTTATCGTGGCAGAAAAGTTTATGTACTTGATCAGCCTTCCCCCAACTTAGTGCTGCCCAGATGTTTTAGACCAGTGGTGGCAAACCTCTGGATCAGGGGCCAAATGAAGACCTCTAGCTGCATTTGACCCTCAGAAGTCTCCCCTATGTGACTTTGCCTGGCTGTAATGTGTCATTTGACTTTGATAGTACATTTTGCTTGCCTGGATGGAAGATAGAGAGGATGTGTTCATGCTGAAGAAAGGTAAACATTGTATTAGTTGTTCTGCCTGCTTTTGCTTCAGGCTCTGCATATCACTAGGTCTCAGATGGTTGCGCAGAACAGAATGCAGTCCTCACACTGAAAAAGGGTTCCTCGCCTTTGTTTCGTACCATCAAGCCCAAACAGCACTGCCCAGTTGGGCTGGGGCTGATGGGAGTGGCAGCCCAAGATCCATCAGACGGGAGAATGCTGGATTCTGTGCAGAGATGGGGATGCTGTCGGACTATAAATCCCATCAGGCCTAGACGGTGTGGCCAACGGTCAGGAGTAATGGGACCTGTAGTCCAACGAAAGGCCTACAGGTTATCCAGTCCTGCACTAAAGCTAATTCACTGGTCACACAAAGAGAAAATAGGCTCTAGTTCAAGGAGGCTTCTGCCATCATCCACACAATAGCCTCTACCCCAATCCTGGGAACAATAGGATGCTGAGAATGGCAGCGTTGTGAGACGATGAACTGCAGTTCCCAGGATTCTTGTTTGGGGGGAGCTATGGTGCGGATGTGACCTTTAGGGCATGGTTGAATTCTATGTTCTATGATGTGCTGTGGGCGCCGTGGCATGGCTACTCTTCTAGAGGGGAAAAAGGGTAAAGGACCCATGGACGCGGGTGGTGCTGTGGTCTAAACCACTGAGCCTCTTGGGCTTGCCGATCAGAAGGTCAGCGGTTCAAATCCCTGTGACGGAGTGAGCTCCCATTGTTCTGTCCCAGCTCCTGCCAACCTAGCAGTTCAAAAGCATGCCAGTGCAAGTAGATAAATAGGTACTGCTGTGGTGGGAAGGTAAACGGTGTTTCTCTGCGCTCTGGTTTCCGTCACAGTGTTCTGTTGCACCAGAAGTGGCTTAGTCATGCTGGCCACATAACTCAGAAAGCTGTCTGTGGACAAACGCTGGCTCCCCCGGCCAGAAAGTGAGATGAGCGCCGCAACCCCATAGTTGCCTTTGACTGGACATAACCGTCCAGGGGTCCTTTACCTCTACCTTTACTCTTCTAGAACATTACCACTAGCCGTTTAACAAAAATCCAGAAGCCTTCTTATTGGGAATTACAAGTACCAAGCTACCAAAGGACCAGAGAAGACTGTTCACGTATGCGACAACAGCCGCACGGATGCCACTAGCTCAGAGATGGAAGGAAGAAACAACCCCAACCAGAGAATGGCAAACCAAGTTGATGGACTATGCGGAAATGGCAAAATTAACTGGGAAGCTCAGAAATCAAGAGGGCAAGAGCTTTAAAAAAGGAATAGGAAGTTTACAATTTATTGACAAAACCACTGTAAGCAGGTTAAAAAATTAGCAGGATTTTAACCACACTGGTAAATTAACGGAAAGTATGGATAATTTGGAAGGATAGAACTTGGACGGTAGTGGTATGTAGTTGTAAATATTATCACTAGGACCCATGAAAGGGATGTGGGGGAAGTCAGGAGATTCAGAGTAATCTCGATATTTGGATCTTGAATTGTTTTTCTGTTGTAGGTTTATATTATTATTATTTTTAAAAAAAATAATATTTTTTAAAAATAAATAAAAAAATAGAACATTCCTACTAGCAACTGTGAGACCTTGGGAAAGCGTGGGTGATAATTCCAATTAAATATGCAGAGTTCTGTGCAGAAGATGGGAGAGTCCATACCCACCCTTCGCCATGCTTTTCTCCTCCAGGAAAAAGATCATTCTGCCAAATGTGTCCTTCAGCTTCTCAATTTCGGATGCATCTTGGAAAGAAGACGATAGGAAGCTGTTGAAGGGCCTGGTCCCTTTTCCATTGTAGCTCCGTTGGAAGAGCATGAGAATCTTAATCTCAGGGTCATGGGTTCGAGACCTACGCTGGGCAAAATATTTCTGCATTGCAAGGGGTTGGACTAGATGACCCTTGTGGTCCCTTCCTAGTCTACAAATTCTATGATCCTGGGTAGGGGCAGAGCTCAGGAGCACAGTGTGAGGGTGGCGAATGGCGTCTGCTATGTCAGGGAGCCAAACACAAGCTGGAGAACCAAGCAAAACAATATCTCCAGGGCTTCCTGTTCCCTTATGAACCTGCCAATCTATTCAGATCTTCACCTGAAAGCTTTTCTCCAGGTCAGCCCACCTTTGGAGGAGAAGCCGGTGGCCACCAGAGAAAGGGCCTTCTCTGTGGTGGCACCACAGTTGCGGCATTTCCTCCACATATTCCTTTGCCTGGCATCATCTACAATAGCCCCGTTGCCTGGCCAAGTTGGTCACATTTGCCTATGCTTTCAGATAGCTATCCAAGGAACCTTATATCGAGCCAGACCATCGTTCCATTTAGCTCAGTATCGCTGACACTGGCTGGCAGCCCTGGGATAACTGACAAGCTATGGCCCTGTCTGTTAAGATCCGCTTAACATATTTCTGGTTGCGGACCTTCGGCGAAAATAGCTGAAACCCTGAAAACTCAAGTCAAACAACTGCGATCGGGGAATCCTATAAGCACCCATAAGCATGCACACTGAACATTGCACATTGGGGGCAGGTGGTATGTGCGACCGCCTCCATTTTGGTCCGGTGCTCAATTGGACGGCACTCACCCACCTGGGTTTTGGCGAAACGCGCAAAGGCCCTTTCCATAATCGGTAGGCAGTTCCCATGCTGGGAAACCCGGTGGCCAAAGAAGTGTTGGCAGACGCGGGCACGTTTTCGTTGGGTGGTGAAGCAGAGGAGGCAAGCTGTGGCCTGTGCACAAAGGGCTAGCCAGAGGAGCAGGAAATGTATGGTAGGCATTATGTCCAGCCTTCTGAGTGGGGATAGGAAGCTGCTGGAGAAGAACCACACCCAAGAAAAGAACTCTCCAGTGATGTCATAAGGGAGGTCCACAGAGCTGGTTGTGATTCCATGGCTCCCATGCAGAAGGGTAGCTCCAAGAAGGGACCACGGAGGGTCAAAGGTCTTTGCACCTAAAATATTGCATCACCCATTCATATGTACCCAACCAACCACTGTGCTCTGCAAGAGAAGGCTTGCTGCTGATACCATCTCACCAGCACGTATAATGTAGGCAGTAGGCTTTTAGTGTGGTGGCATCTACCCTTTGGAATCATAAATTGTAGAATTGGAAGGGACCCCAAGGGTCATCTAGTCCAACCCCCTGCCATGCAGGGATCTCAGCTAAAGCTTCCATCACCTGCTAAAGACCTTTTTAAAAATCCCTGTCCATTCATGTATTGGATCTGAAATTGTTTTATACATATGTTTTTTCTTGTTGACGATATCGCTGTTAAATTGCTTCAGGGTGTTTCATGGGAAGTGATTCATAAATGAGAGGAGATGATATAAAATAAATAAACTACTTTGAAATAAAAACAAAACAAATGCAGGCACCTCAGAGGGTTCCTTATGTTGAATCAGACCATTCGTCCATCTTACGCAATTTTACCCACAATGATTCGTGTTTGAAATAGTTGCATTTGTCTGCATTCAGGCCATAGAATACATTCCTCTTTAAAACTGCTGCACTGGCTTTTTGCTTCTTTTCACCGTCTGACTAGACTTCCTTTTCACAGAATCCTAGCATTGTAGTACAGTTGGAAGGGGTCCCAAGGGCCTTCTGGTCCAAACCCCTGCAATGCAGGAATCTCAACTAAATCATACAAGCCATCCAACCATGTTCAGTTCTGGGCGCCACAATTTAAGATGGATATCGACAAGCTGAGATGTGTGCAGAGGGTGACAGAGATGATCAAGGGTTTGGAAGGAATCAATGGTTATGAGGTTGTGGGAGTTGGGTATGTTTAGCCTGGAGTTGGCTATGTTTGGCCTGGAAAAGAAGATTTTTAAAGAAGAAATATTTAAAGGGCTGTCACATGGAAGACAGAGCAAGCTTGTTTTCTTTTGCTCTGAAGGTGGACCCAAACCAACGGCTTCTCTGTATGCTTGTTGTTTAAAAAATCAGCCTGAATTTAAAGGCAACTCTGCATTTATATGTGTGATTAAGTATGTAATTGTAAATTTATCGTGTTTTTAATATTCTGTTGCAAGCTGCCCAGAGTGGCTGAGGAAACCCAGCCAGATGGGTGGGGTATAAATAATAAATTATTACTATTGTTAATATTTCCCCCCCTCTCAAAATGCACATTTTGATGTGTTTAAACTTTCAAAAACTGACTTGCAAACTTTGGAGAAGTGCAAACTCAGGTTGGTTGTTCAACTTCCCATCAACTGTTCTGAACCACAGCCCCAAAGAGAGGTTCGTGGGTTTGGCTGGGTGCAGATATAAAAAAGAAGTAGGGCATGAATCCGAGGGTCGTGGGTTCGAGCCCCAGGTCGAGTGAAAGATTCTTGCATCGCAAGTGGTCGGGCTAGATGACCCTCATGTCCCCTTCCAACTCTATAATTCTATAAACACAAAGCGGCAAACAGCACTTTGGCCAGGGCTTCCCATCACTCCACCTGACCAGATGAGGCCTTGGATGGCAAATACCAAGTCTTACAGATAGTTCCACTTTCTGGGCTCAAAGCTCAGCACTCCAAGCCCACAGATAAGGATAGCATCAAAGCAAAGCCAATTAACCCACATCAAAGCGAGTGAATATAAACATATATGAGCTCATGGTTACAAACAACTACCAATTAATTGTGGGGTTATTTTGACTGCCAAGATGGCGTTTGAAGAGCTCCTGGAACAGTTTAACTTCCATGGGCATAGCCCTGGGGGCGCCGGAGCACAATTTCTGTTCTCATCCTGAAGCAAAGTTCTTAACCTGAAGCACTATTTCTGGGTTAGCGGAGTCTGTAACCTGAAGCGTATGTAACCTGAAGTGTATGTAACCTGAGGTACCACTGTACTTATTTATATGAGGTTCTGCCCCACCCCCCAGCAGAAGCCTCCCCCCCCCCCACAATGTCCTATTTACGGGGTATTTTTTACCTGTGATTTCCGAATAAATGCTCAACAACTTATTTGATTTACTAAAAAATCAAAAATTCTGGCTATGCCCATGTGTCACCTTTGGTTCAGCACATCCACACATTAAGAAGAAAGAGGTCGGGGGGGGGGGAGCGGGCGGGGAGAGAGAGGTAAGGATCAGGTTGTCAGTAACAAAGATCCCTCACTACTAAAATGGCATCACAGAGCTGAAGCCAGTTCAGCAAAGGGCAGCCAAAATTATCAAGGGGACAAAGAAAGGTAAGTTTTGGGTTTAGAGGAAAGACAATAGGCGAGGCCATAGCTCAAGGGCAGAACATCTGCTTGGCATGCAGAACGTCCCAGGTTTAACCTCTGTTCTCGTCAGGCAGAGCTGGAGGCAGCCCAAGAGAAACCCCAGAGAGCTTCTGCCAGTCAGTGCAGACAATATCAAGCCAGCTAGACCACTGGTCTGACTTGGTATGTGATGGCTTCCTATATTCCTATGAGACATGATGACCACCATGGTTATATTCCACCCATACCCTCCAACATTTCTCCGATGAAAATAGGGACGTCCCCTTCCATGATAATTTTACTGTTTATACCCCACACATCTTACTGGGGTGCCCCCAGCCACACTGGGAAGCTTCCAACGTATATAAAAACATGATAAAACATTAAGAAACCTTCCCGATACATATCTCATGCTCTTAAAACAATGTGCATCTTCGTTCTCCTTCTCTGTGCCTGAAACTTCCTTCCTCCCAGGTTATCTCTTCAAGTTATCTCTCTCAAATCCCTTCTCAAGAGTCCTTGGGCTTAACAGTCTCCCCTCACATACTCTCTGCCAAGCAAAACAAAAGCCTGAGAATTTGGATACCACCCATTTGATCATACATTAGCCCTGGCAGCGCCGTTGTAAAAAAACAAAACAAAAAAACACAGAGGACTACCGTACTTCTTTCTATTTGCTAAGCAAGCGATAATATGCAAATGTGACCATTTATTTGCATGAAATTTGGCTGTGAGCATGGACTGTTTCACCTGCCAGATACTCACGAGGTATTCCATGGGCATAACTAAGCATCTAGACCATGCGTAGGCAAACTAAGGCCCAGGGGCCAGATCCGGCCCAATCGCCTTCTAAATCTGGGCCGCGGATGGTCCAGGAATCAGCATGTTTTTACATGAGTAGAATGTGTGTTTTTATTTAAAATGCATGTCTGGGTTATTTGTGGGGCCTGCCTGGTGTTTTTACACGTGTAGAATGTGTGCTTTTATTTGTGGGGCATAGGAATTCGTTCATTCCCCCACCCCCATATAGTCCGGCCCCCCACAAGGTCTGAGGGACAGCGGACTGGCCCCCTGCTGAAAATGTTTGCCGACCCCTGATCTAGACTCTGCCCAATCCTTGGGAAGTGCTGATCTGCATAATCATCATCATCATCATCATAATATCATTCCACCCATTTGACTAGGTTGCCCCAGTCACTCTGGGAGGCTTCCAACATACAGTATATAAAAACATAATGTATATGTAGCCTTGCAGCTTGGTTTCGCATTTCTATAACCTGTTGCATTTGTTCTTTTTGGATAAGCAAAATCTTGCTTTCTCTTGGCTTTTCTATAGCCAGACATTTCTTCCACGACTATCAGTGGCTGGTGGCTCCTAGCTACAGTGCACATCTGATATGCTTGAAAGAGGGCCAAAGAGAAACAGCTGAGCGGTTAGACTTTAGCCAGCGAAGGTGACGGACGCCTTAAGCTTAAGGAAACCCCGAGGGCCTGGCATTTGTTTTGGGGAAGCAGGTGCTGCCCTACAGACTAGCCCTGTTTGGGTGCTTTGGGTCTGTGGAATCCTAGCAAGGTGTGCCTGGCATCTATTTTAGTCTTTTGGAGAAAAAGGTCAAGGATTTACTCTTATGCAATGGAACATTCCCCCTTTCCCTATCCTCACCAATCTCATCCAGATGGTTGGGGAGACCCATAGAATAGATTTAGGGGTGCACAGGGGGTAAGTTCTGCTGTCCAAGCATAAATCCTTGTTCTGACAGGACGTGTTAGTTGGAAACCATCCCTAACTTTTCATACTTTTAGGCAATTTTGCACGTATTTTTTAAAAAATTGCTGTTAAGACAACATAGGGACCCAGAATTGGATGGGCTGGGCTGGACAATGGTTTTATTGTTCACGCACCTGTTCCCCACAGGTACCTGCTCATTGTGGGCAACAGGACCCCCTGTCTTAAGCACGCTGGTAAAAGCACCAGACCCATTTGCTGAAACAAAGACGCCGAGAGAGAATGACGACGACTCCCCCTGGCAAGACGGAAGGTGCCGCATTGTTGGCACCTTCTGTCTATACAGTTATTGCTTTTCTTGGCATCGTGACAGGCGGAAAAGGGGGGAGGCAGAGAGAGAGAATGTGGAAGAGTGGAAAGCCGTAATGGGAGAGAGGAGGGATCTGTAGGCCTCAGACCTCTGTCTCCATGGAAACCAGACAGCTCAGCTTGAAGCTGAGAATATGTCCTTTAAACAGGGAGGAGAGGGAGGGAGGGAGAAGCAGAGAAGGCAGAAGGTGCTCTTGCCCATGACAGCTAAATCGATAAGAGAACGAATGAGAACACTGATCTGCAAGGCAAGCTCAGCCTTGGACCCTCAAGACTCAGTTCCCAATCTGCATGTCCTTCTGCCCTGCCTCCATTTCTGCGGCTGGTTTCGCACTTGGTCCAAATGCCAGCTCCTTCAATGCACTCCCACCAGACATTTTTAACTTCCTTCCTGTGTGTGTTAAAAACCCAGCCGTAAAAATCCAGTGGCAATTTGCTTTTTGCAAGATGCTTTAAACGGCTCATTTCTTAAACTTGGTGGTGGTACGTTTCTGCTCCTGGGTCTTTCAGGTCTGCTTGAGCAAGGGCTGCTTGGACCCTCAGGAGGGCCCGGGTTCCTCCACTAGAGGCCCAATGCCAGTCCCACTTTCCCTAGGCCCACACTCCTCACACCGAGTGTGTTTGCCTAGCTAAAATCTGTCCTCAAACTCTGAAAAGTTGCTCAGAAGGGATATGTGGCTCTTGGGAATGGCAGGTTCCTTGCTGCTGCTATAGGAGGGAGTTTCCCCCATTATAGTGCCAGTTCAGTGCTACCCTAAGGTAGTCTTTCCCAATGTGGTGCCCTCCAGATGTTGTTGGATTACAACTCCCAATGACCAGAAATGATGGGAGTTGTAGTTGGAGAGCATCAAGTTGAGCCTAGGGCTGGACAAAAGTAATTCTAGGGACTGCTTTTGCAACCCAGGCAAAATTGGGGGGGTCCAAGCCAGAATTTTATCAGTTTTGGTCAGCTGTCTGAATGAAGAGGGTGCAAAGGCAGAAGAGACAGGTTGGTAGTTGCCAGTGTATGTGTTTGCTGTCGCTGTGTGCGCCTGTGCAACCAGTAATCACATAGGATTAATGCCTCCCTCCCCCGCCCCCGAAGCAGCATGCAGTGACTGTATACAAAATACTACCTTTCAGATAAGACAGTGTGAAGGCTCTCCCATGCTAGGGCAGGTAGGCTTTAGCATAAAAACCAGATTCCACGCCTTACTCAAGACAGGCAAGGAAGCACTCTTTTTACAAAGGTGCTTCAAATATACCCAGAGGCAACTTGAATAGAAGTGTTTCTGAAAGGTGTATTGTTGTTGTTTTAGGCACCAGAGGCAATAAACCAAGGTTTAAAGAAGCCACTTTTAAGGAGTGTGTAATTATTCAATACTGAAATTGAACTTTATTATCAGCAGAAATCAGGCACCTTTTCAAGTGTGGTTATCTTCCATTCCCCTTCACTCAGTGTCAGCAAAAAAGCATTGACAACCTGGTGCCCCCCAGCTGTTTTGGTATACAGCCCCCATCAACCCCACCCAGAAAGCCCAAGCATTCTGG